ATAATATTTGAAGATATCGAATAAAGGATAGGTTTATTAATAGTAGTATTAGATATACTATTAAATGAAATAAGGGATTCTTCTTTAATATAGTCTTGAAAAATATTGATATAAGAATATTAATAATCTAAGTATTTATTAGAATATTCTTATCCAAAAGTATTATTGTAATTATAAATAGATACCTAAACACCTCTCCAAATGATATAATTATATTCAGAATAGTTTTCTTGAATCAAAGCTTTTTCTATTACAATTATTTTTATATCAATAGCTTTTTTTATTAAATAATCCCAAACCAGGTATCTAGATTGTTTACAAAAATAACACAGACTATAACAATATTCCTTTACTCTTTATTATTCTTTGTTAAAAGCTTTGAAGATATCGAGGTTTATCGAGTATTAACAAGTTTTTTAATCCCAAAGTGACTTTTTCCTTCAAGAATATTATTATTATTATATATAATAATTTTATTATAAAACCAAGCTTTTCCAAAGTTATAAAGAATAAAATAAAGGATTGTTTATTTATTATAATTAGTTTCCTAAACTTTGTTATAGTATTTCGCTTTAAATCAGTCGAAATATAGAGTTTATCAAATCTTTCCAGGAAAAAGTTTGCAATGAAATAAAGAGAAGTGTTATTCAATATTACAAGAATGTTTCCGAGTCTTTCTTGCTATATTATACTATCGAATAATATAATTATATAAACAAGCTTTTTTCTTTTCGATATCGAAGCAAGTTATATTATATTCCTAGCAAAATCAGAGACTAAACTTCCAAGAGAGATATTCTTTTTGTTATACAAATAGATTTTATTTTTTATTTTTGAAAAGTTTAGGGTTTTTTATTGTTGGTTAAGTGTAAAAAGGATTTGGAGGGGGATTTTGATTAGAGATCTTGATAGTAAAGTTGTATGCTTTTTGAAATTAATATTATTAAATAAGAAGATTATTATGAATCTGGTTGAGTTATTTTTCGATGGCTGATTGAACTGTATATTTAATATTAAATTGTTTTTTGATAATTAATTGGATTATATATTCAATATAGTATTCTTTAGTAATGGTTTTAAGTATAGTAAGTAGGTTTCAAAGAAAGTGTTAAATAATGGAGTTAGTATTTTCTATATTGAGTAGATTGATTAGTAGGGTTAGATCTTGGAGAGGGGTATTGGAAGTAAATATATTAGTAATATAGGATTAGTTTTGAAATATTTGATAAATATATATAATCAAAGTTTTATATATTATGGTTTTAGGAGCAGGTGTATTGGTATTGATAATAGATATATCAGGATTGGTATTACTGGATATAGCTAATGAATTTGTTATATCAGTCATTGTGATAGTTTAAGTCGAAATCAGAATCAAAATTATCAAATTAAAATCGTTGTATACAAGTAAGTATAATCAAAGCTGGGCTGTTATCAATAGCAGAGCCTTTTGAAGAATCAAATATACTATCACGGGGCTGATACAGGTTCTGGTGGGTACTAGGTAAGATGTATAATATTCGACGAGGAGAGAAGGAGACGCGCGGAGCGACGACGAATATATGGTGGATGGATGCCTAAGGCATCCATCCGAGCTAGGAACGGGTAGTGAACCCGTGACACTTAGCGATATATATAACTAATATAAGATAAGATAGAACTATAATAGATTTATATCTATAAGTTATACTTATAATATTATAGCTTTTAATTAATTAATTACCGGTATCTAATCTAGATCTAAGATTAGATATAAGGATTATCATCTGTCGAGGAAAAAAGCTGTGAGATAATGCCTGCGAGTAGAAAATCTAATTTGCGTGACTCTGTTTCTGTTTCGAGAGTCTCGTTATTTATTAGTTTGTGAGTTCGTGAGTCTGGTTCTTGATTGTGGTTGTAGCGTGAGAGGGGATGGTGAATACAAATAAGTAGGAAGTACTGCTGTATCAAAGAATAGATGGAATATCCGAATATAACGGAAGTAAGTCGCACATTACAATGTTGTAGCAGATACTGTACGTTACATCTTTCGGGGGTTATTTGTGATAATGATAATAATAACGATAGCTGCACTTAAACTTACTCGAGTAGTATCAACAACAATAAATATTTAGCTACAAACTTCGAAACGCCCTTCCTTATAATCATATATTGAGTCTTGTTGAATAGATGAAATCACAGCACATGTACGAGTATTGAATTACCCCATGAGCTACTCCGTTAGGGTTTAGTGCTTAATGTACCTGCATGAGGACATTGTTGGAACGACTAATGGTGTGGTGGGGTAGAACCCAACTGTGGGATGGTTATTCAGTTCAGTAATCAGACCAGTCGATGAATGAACTCTTTCCAGATACTCATTGCTCCTCTTCGATATCTCCACATTATTCCCAAAAGCAAAATTGAAAATGTCCTTCACATACTCAATCCACCGTATACCCACCCATAACTCCTCCTCCACCTCCTCAACATCGCCGCTCCCAGACCCAGACCCCACCCTCCTCCCCTTCCTCGCTGGCAAATTTTCCGCTCTTCGCCTCTCCGCTCTCCTCGAATCACCTATCGCCTTTAGCTCCACCTTCGAAATCGAATCTCAATATTCTCCCTCCACCTGGCTTACCCGATTTTTGCGTCCCAAGATCCAATACTTTATCGCCGTCGCTCACTCTAAATCCACACCCATCGAGTCCCGCACTATCGATTCCGGTATTCTCGTCGGCAGCGTCCAATTATATGGACCCAATTCCAAAGCTTTTTTCGAGCTCCCCTTAAGCGGCGCACCATCCCCTTTACCCGATGACGAGGAATCGAAATACCAAATGATAGCACTGTATTCATCTCCTGGACACCGAGGAAAAGGCCTTGCTAAAATGCTGATCCAGGGAGCAATTGATAGTGCGAAAAAGGAAGCCGTCGAGCAAAGAAAAGAAAAAGTGAGGATTCGGATATTTATGCATCCGGAAAACTTGAAGGTGAAAAAGTTGTACGATGGAGTTGGATTCGTGGAGGTGGGACTGTGTACGCTGTCTGAAGCGGTGGTGCAGAATGGAGACGCGGAGAGTTTACCTGAAGATGGCGGCGTTTCGGACCCAGAGAGATGGTTGAATAGACTTGGGCTTTGTATGGAGTGGGCTAGTTGATAATTTATGATAGCGGTGACAATAAATGATTTTCTTTCATATGACCTCTAGATCCAATGGCCAACATAAGGTTTCACAGCGGCCATATTTCGTAGATTTTGGCTGCAAATTGTAAAGCATCCCGAAAGTTATTTTCTCATTTTTCGTCAGTTTCCACGTCACGCCAGTACACCGATTTTACATCTAGATATGTAGGAACGGGAAGAGAATAGGCACGAGATGCAGGAGTAAATCGAGTATAATAATAATTCGTCTGTTATCAAGTGCAAATACTCGGCTCCGCCTTCGTATATGATCTCTTCTTGGATCTATCGATAGGCAGACGTCAAAGGACAGCTAGAGGCTTCGTCGTGGTGAAAACTCCCCTGTTCGAAACAAATAGTATATAGATCGAAAATTAAGTATATGCTTCATATTTTGGATGGATAAACAAGTGTCGTTTGATCGAAAACATCAAAGAATCTTGCTCAGAGCTCGAAAGCTACTAGGTCAACTGGATTCCTCCCAATTATAAGAGAAGACTTAAGCAATCAAATTAGGCGAATGAGTTAAGCTCGATGGGTTTTCCATTTTGCTACTTGGCAAAGAAAATTCCTAAGCTGTGCTATTTATGGAGTTGGACTGTTGAACCGATGCAAGTATATGCCTTGATGTCAGGGTGTGCATGTTATGAAGGAGTATTACCGTTGCGGAACACTATCCAAGCAATCTAATGTTACATAGAACTCTATTTCCATTGTGTATTTCCAAATGAGAATACTTTCTTAACCTGCGTACTAAGCAGATCCTCTGATACACTAGTACACTAGAACAGAACCCAAGAATCTGGTTACGTGACAATGTGTCGTCAGAAACGACCTCAGAGACATGCATGCTGTAAAGGTTCAAAGATACAAAAACCGATGGACGCATAGGAACGGACTGACAGAAACAAGAATGCAAAAGAGTCGCTTTAGTCGCTTTAAAGGAGTGTTGATATAACTAAACCAGTGCCAGTGGGTCACTGTGATTGAAATAGGTAACGAGTACCAGACATTAACAGATGGAAAATAAAGAAAAAGGAAAACGTATCTTATCAAAAGCAAAACCATCTCGAGCATTAGGAATATAACTATCAGAAATGGAGGATAGGGATGATCACAGTTCGCGAACGAAGAATCTCAACACAAGAGCCATCAATCGCGCTAGTAACAGTTCCTTCCACATTCTCCAGCTCTCCAAACCTTATTCCATCCTCAGGCTTTAAGTATGAAAAAGCCAAATTGATAAGAAATCTCTCCATTGGGAGATTGTTCACGCCGCAGAAACGATGTGTGTGTGTGTGACATGACTCGATGGTAATGAAGCCAAGCATGATCAACACACGCCTCCAAAATACGAGATGCAACAAAATTTCGAAGTTTTGCTGGAGGAACCAATCTTTTAAAGTGCGATGTGCAAGAGGAAGATGACTGGATTGAAGAGATTAGGGAATGGATCTTCTTCCCTTGCATTTGTTCCTCCTTCCTGGTGGCACAAGATGATATGAGAGAACAATATTGCAGAAAAGAAGTCCAAAATTGTCAAGTGAAATTTGGATAATTATATTGAGTTGTTTTTTTTTCCTTCATCGCACGAGATAGTTGGGTTTCCTCCTATTGTTCGAGACCAACTTGTACATTGAAAGATTAATGTTCCCCAGGCCGGTGCCGTTTCGTGCATCTTGGCCCTAGAAGTTTTTAATCGAAGTTTCGATTGATGAGATTTGCGGTGTGATAGGTATACTATTCCGTGACAGACCAAACCAACACGGTATTGTTAGCCAGTGTAATGACCACCTACATAGTACCATACGTAGTATGCAGATATACCCTGATACAATGGAGCTCTTCACGTGAGCTTTGAAGTTGTTGATCCTCAGATAAAGTTTGTATCCCTGGAGATAGATTTGACAAATTGAAAAAAGCCAGAGTCAACATGGCAACCTGGAATTCTTGGGCTCTGGGTATGTGCGTGAAATTCCCATAAAAATTGATAGAGTTGATCCACTGTCAATGAGATCTCCAAAGGACCGACCTCGTGGTAAAATGCACAGAGGTTTTAGGTACAGTACCCAAGTAGCTGGTATCGAGTAGGCTAATGTATTGTATACGGGCCACTCCATATACTTCACGACGACGAACTTCATGACAGTTCTTCAACTTTCCGTCAAGATTGAATGATTTTGATGTTGCAGAAGTAAAAGCCATGGCGTTAATTAGTAGTTCCTCTTTCTTCCCTAGCTCAAGATTATCGTGCCACCGTACTTTTACTGTACGTACTTTCTAGCCGTGCCGCCCTGCCCCTGTATCTGGTGCCTGAAGCTTGAACATATTAAGGATTGATTGACCTGACCCACTTCCTTCATCCCACTTCCCCAATTGATGATTTAAGGGGGACTTTTTCTTTTGCGTTCCTGTTTTAGGCTTGTTGTGCAATATGATGTAGCCAAACCCGGCTGCCAGGTAATCACCTTCGAATTAATCTCACAGAGCTGTTGGTTGTCTTTCAGTTCTAGCCCTTTATTCCGGCCATTCAAAGACTGGACGGATTACAATTCCAAGCCCTTGTGTTGTATGTCAAATATCGAATCATCCCTCCCTTTCC